CAAAGTGGCAAAGAATCCAAAATGGACAAAGAACCAGAAGGCTGTGAGGAACCCAAGGACGGAGCGAGAGCTGCTTGGAGAGCTCTATGCTGACAAGGCCTACCTGGAAAAGCTGCTCAATGACAAAGGTCTATCTCCATTGTAGTTAACTAAATGCTCCTTCGAAGCAGGCTCTTTTTTCACCCTTCTTTTATATCCCTGTGGCTGCTCTTCCTTGTTTGTATCAGAGCTCAGACAGAGCTTGTGGTGGTTGTGAGAGAGGCAGGTATCTTTGGAGCTGGATCCTAACTCTGAGCATGTTTCCTTCCCTGTTAAATGGGAGGCTTTTATAACCAAGAGTAAATCAAGCCCAAGCAATCTGTGCTGATGAAATCCAAAGCAGAAACAGCATTGTTACAAGTAACTTCTGTCATCATGACTCATGATGAATTCCACGACAGGGGGTGGGAACGCCAGCACTAGCTCACTAAAGCACATGGAACGGGAATGGCAAGGGAGCCTTCCCTCCTAAGTACACCCCTTCTGAGGAGCACCAAGGGTTCCTAGGACCCTCTGTCAGAGCAGGAAAACTGCAGCCTCCTCCATCCCTCACATTAACACTCCCCTGGGTTCCTGTCTCCTTTCAGATCTGATGGAGAGCAGCACACAGCAGGGGATCAAGGTAAAGGACCTGGTTTTGGGGGGCATTTCCTACCTGGAGACCCGCAGCGAGTTCTGGCAGCAGCAGAAGCCAATTTATGCCCGGGTGAGGGAGCGCAAGCTCCGGCAGCAAAGGTGGACCCGGGACAAGAGGCAGAAAGCTCTGGAGGTTGGCAGACACATTGAGAAGACCATGGAGGACATTGACATGTGTGGGTATCCTGGCTGGAAGCAGTAAGGAAATGATGGTGGGCACATGGGATTATTTGCTGTAGTAATCACAGTAGATGCAGACCAACAGAAGCAGTGCAAACACGAGCAGGCCGTTTGGGGCAGGATTTGCTGTTGGATTCTTCACCTTTCCCAATGCTTTCTTCGATCCACAATCCTGGAGTTTTTTTCCTATACTTCCTGCTCTGAAGGAAGGAGAACTCAGCCCCCCCTGGGCTCTTTCTCTTGCCCTCTGCTACCTATTTACAACCCAAGGAGGATCATTTACTTGTTCCCTTCTTTTAAGCTATCACAGTGAGGAGGGTGGCAAAACCCCTGCAGCCTCATTCCCACAGCACTGCAGGTCAGCTGGGTACAGGAAGCAGAGCTCACCAGGGATGTGCAAGGGGCTAATGTGGGGGATAAACCCCAGAGTGTTGGAGCTAGAACTTCACCTCCAAGAGCAGGCTGCTCTGCTACAACTGTGAGCTCTCAAACCTTCAGACAAGCAGCTTTACTTCAGCATGGGATGTTGTCAGTAATTCCCCATCCCTGGCAGTGCTCAAGGCCAGGTGGGATGGGGCTTGGAGCAAGCTGCTCCAGTGGAAGGAGCTGGGTGAGCTTTAAGGTCCCTGGGATTCTATGATTTCCCCTTACTTGCTGTGATCCCCAGTAGTGCAGTTTCCCAGGGCAATAGTGACTGAACAGTGAGGAGCCCTAACCCATCCCAAGGTTTGCCTGGGGCTAATCCATCTGCACTCAGCCTCACCCACCCAGCACCACCACGTCCACCCAGCAGCATTAAACCTCCCTCTTTCTCTCCAGTGCTGAGCAGTGACTCCCCTGAAGAAAGCTGCAAGAAAGCCAAGCGTCTACTAAGAAAGGTACAAGGGTGGTCAGAGGATGAGCTTCCCAACAGGAAGGAGCTGATGGCAGACCTCTACAGCCGCATTGGGAAAGCGCAGTTAGAGATGGGCCAGATGGAGGCAGCCCTGCAGAGCCACAGCATGGATCTGGAGCTGGCCAGGCAGCAGTAAGTGCTGGGTTCAGGCGGGTGGGAAAAGAGGGAAGTAGCTCTATTAAGGTGTTATAGCATCAGGTCATGGAATTCTCACCTGGAGGTGTAACAGGACAACGCGTTCAGCCTGTGCCCAAGGATTTCTTATCGTCGCTGTTTAAAAAGAAAGAGCCTGAAGCAGGTCTTTAAAGGCACATCTCAGCACCTGCTGAAGCAAAGCAAGAGGGAGCACAAGCCCCACTCTTAGCTCTGTAGGATGCGTTTCCTTCCCAGGCTCTAACCTGCTCAAGTCTTCCGCTGCGTTTGCTCTTAGAAGCATTTGCATTCAAACCTTGCTGCATTCATCCCGGAGGAGCAGTCCCCTGCCCACAGAGAGCAACTCCAGCTAAAACGGAAGGGAGCAAGGCGTAGCCTGAAGCTTTCCTCAGAGCTTTGCCTGCCGTGATTTGGGGGCTCCTTTTGCCAGGCCTGCGAAGGGCTTGCAGCAGCTGCTTAGCGTTTTCACATGGTTTATGTGGTTCAGGTGCTTTTAGAGCCATGGGAAGCGATGGTGAAGGAGAACCCGCAGCAGGGGGGGTCGCCCTCTGGTGGCTGCCTCCGGCAGTGGGCACAGAGGAGATGCTCCCAGCGGGGCACATCCCTCCTCTCCCTCAGCTCTTCCCTGTAAGGAGAGGGCAGGCGGCTCAGGCCACTCTGGAGATGGGGACAGGGACTGCTTGAGGTCCTCAGGCTACATCTTTACAGAAGGAGCTGCCTCCGGCGTGGGGCAAAGGCTCATTGAGAGCAGAGCAAGTCTGGAGCCCCATTGCTGACACACGTTTGGGGTCTTCCCTTTCCTCCTGGCCAGAAAGAATCTGTCAGTGTTAAGGACCCAGGGCCTCTGTGGGGCCCACAAGGCAACAAAGAGGACGGCCAGATTCACAGCAACAAATCCCCACAGAACCTGAGGACAAACCTAAACCCTTTCCCTGCGTGTTATGGGCTGCCAGGAGAGAAAATCACAACCCAGCCTTCAGTTCATGGCTTCCAGTCTGGCCTCGCTCCTTTGCTTCTCAACACGTAGCCTGAGGTGCTGTTGAGCCCCAAAGCGAGTGTGAGGCTGAGGGAAGCACGGACTGTACCAGGAACAAGCCTCTGCCACAATGATTTCTTTCTCTTTCCAATGCAGTGATCTGCCAGATGCTGTATCCAGAGCCCTCGGGAACATTGGCAGGGTTTATGCCAGCACCAGGAGATTCCAGCCCGCTATCGACGCGTACGTAACACTAGGGACAAGGGAAGGCACCAGCTTGTGCTCTGCATTACACAGAGGGTGTATTTCAGGTTATCTATCCCCGCTGCTCAAGGGGGAGCTGTGGGATGTTCGTACCCACAGTACCTGAAATCCTTTAGTTATAACAGGAAGGGTTGCAATAACCACACCTGGGGAGATGCACTCACCTCTGCCCTGCTTCCTCCCTGCTTGCAGATGGGAGAAGAAGATTCCAATGGTGAAATCCAACCTGGAGAAGGCCTGGCTGTTCCATGAAATTGGCCGATGTTACCTTGAGCTGGACAAGGCAAAAGCAGCCCAAAGTTATGGGCAGAAGTCCCTGCAAGCAGCAGATGAAGAGGGAGATGCTGAGTGGCAGCTCAATGCTATGGTCCTCGTGGCACAAGCACAAGGTAGAGGCCTTAGTACCAATGGGAACTGTTCAGATCAAGGCATCTTGGAGACCTGCTTGATCCACCAGTGGTGTTCTCTTGGTCTGGGGTTAAAACAGATGTTTGCATTTGTCTGTTACAGGGAGGTTAAAGGATTACCGGCCTGCAATCCTGATCTTTGAGAAGGCACTCAACAAGGCAACACTTCTTCATGATGAAGCTGCTCAGGAGGCCATCCTCACTGTAAGTGGGTTCTTGCAGAGGAGAGGAGCTTGGGGCAGCATCCGCCAGTTAGCTCTAACTAACTAGTGTCTGGTGTGCTGTGAACTGAGGAAGTATCCCTGCACAGCCAGTGTGTCCAGAGGGAACATCCCTGCACAGCCAATGTGTCCAAGGGAACATCCCTGCACAGCCAATGTGTCCAGAGGGAACATCCCTGCACAGCCAATGTGTCCAGAGGGAACATCCCTGCACAGCCAATGTGTCCAGAGGGAACATCCCTGCACAGCCAATGTGTCCAGAGGGAACATCCCTGCACAGCCAGTGTGTCCAGAGGGAACATCCCTGCACAGCCAATGTGTCCAAGGGAACATCCCTGCACAGCCAATGTGTGTCCAGAGGGAACATCCAAAATGTCCCAGAGAAGCCCCTCTGCACCAAAGCACGGTCCCAGCACAGCACTCACCTCCCCATTGATCCCTTCTGGATGCTGGGAGCTCGGGCAGAGCCTCTTCTCCTGCCAGGGGAAAACCAGTAGTGGAGAGAGATGGACTGGTCAGGGGAGGAGACCTTCGTGAAGGAACAGGTAGCGACCACTGCAGGGAGCTCTGTGGTAGGAAAGCACCGTGTGATGCCAGCAGAGAGCAGGATACAGGAGGAGTGTGGTGTGTAACTGCCTTTCTAGGGCCTTTCTTAACGACCTGCATCCCTTCCAGGCTTTGGAAGAGGTGAGCAAAAGCTTCATGGAGCAGCTGAGAGCCAGCGAAGACCCAGCAAGAGCTCCGAGCCTCCGAGGTACCTGCCCTTGGCACCTCTGCGCCCCATAAGCACACGCATTCTCCACCTCCCTTCCCCGAAGCACGGGAGCGAAGCTCCCCATTCCCAGGGAGCAGACACCCGCGCCCCCGGCCCTACCGCATCCTCTGCGCTAGCCCGGAGCAGCCGGAATGCGCGGGTGAGCGCGCAGGTACCGCGGCTCCGGTTCCTGGCTCAAAGCGGCGTTTTCCTCCCCAGAGGACCCCAGCAGCGAGAACACCGAAACCGACAGCTTCGAGGAAGACGCGGAAGGAGCGGCCGGGGCCGGAGCGCAACCGGGGGCCACTGAGCGGGACGGGGAGGAAGGCGCGACACGGGGACAATAAACATTGGCCGGTGACGGTGTCGCGATAGCGCTGCAAACAGAGCCCCCTCGTGTCCGCTCTGTCCCTCCCGTGTCCGCTCCGTCCCTCCCCGCTCCCCCCGCGCATGCTCGGCCGCAGCGGGGAGGGGTCCCCCGGTGCTATGAAAGGGGCTGCGGGGGGGGGGTGCCCGGTCCAGAGCCGCTGTCCCGCCGCGCCGCTCCGCACCGGCGGCCGCTGCCCTCACCATGGTAAGTGCGGGAGCGCGGCTGCTGCGGGGCGCGTTCCCGAGGGGAGGCAGCGGCGGCGCGGACACGAGGTCGATGGGACCCGGCGGGGTGCGGGAGGGACCGGGGGGGGGGGGGGTCGCAGCCGGACCCCGCGGCTCCATCGCGGGCTCCCCGAGCCCCCTCGGCCGCTCGGAGCAGCCGAGCCCCGGCCCCGCGGGGGCTGAATGGGGGGGATTGTCCGGCTGCAGCCCGGCGTGGGGCTCTGTGGGGCCATTGTCCGCCCGGCCCGGCCGTGAAGGCTCCATTCTCCTCCGCGCTGGCCCCCGAACAATGGGGCCGGAGCGAGGTTTTCCATTATTGTTCCTTTGTTTGCGGCTCTGAAAAGCGGCCTCAGTCCTGCCCCGCGGGCAGCTGCGGGCGCAGGGGACACGCACCAGCTCCCGGAGCCGCCTCAAGCATTTGCTGCCTCCTGGAGCCCCCCAGTCCATGGGGAAGGGGCCCAGGAGCGATGCTTGGTGCTCGCTCTTCTCGGAGACCCATTCATGGAGCTCCCTGTGCAGGCACAGCTGCTGCCCTGCACCTGGGACTCTGTCCTGGTCCCCATCCCAGCGTGCTGGGGAAAGCAGGGACCGCTCCGTGCTCTGCAATGGGAGATGGGGCAGTGAGCTGGAATCGCTGGGTTTTGATAACAGCTCCCCTCTGCAAACAGGGGAGCGGGCAGAGCACAGAGGTTGGGGATCAAACCCCTCCGTGTTTGCATCAAAGGCAAAACTGAACCCTTCAGCACCTCGGGTCTGGTTTTTGGGCTGGTGGGGGGAGATGGAGGGGTCCCAGCGCCGCTAAAAGCAGCGGCTGCCCCATTGCTGCCAGTGAGCGGGCACGGCTGGAGAAGTTCGTCCCCTCGTCCCCCCCCGTTTCCTCCCATTCCCACGTTCTCCCAGACCCCGCTGGGAGTGAAGCCCGGGTCCCAGTTCCAGGCGCTGCCGGCAGCGCTGCTCGCTCGCTCCAGGCGCTGGTTTCACTTTCGTGTTCCTGCCCCGGCCGCTGAGCGCGGGTTTGCCGTTACCGGAAGCATTTTCAGCTGCTCCTCACCGCGAGAGAGCCCAGATCCCCTCCGCTGAGGCAGCCGGGGGCTGCAGTGCACAGAACGGGGCAGCTCTCACCGTGCGAGAGCATCCTCAGCCCCGGGACCAGCTTCTGCCTTGGGGACGATTCCCTTTGGGTCGGCTGAAAGGCTGGGACTGCAGCAGCCGCCACAGCGCGCTGGGACTTGAGGTTCCTGCTCTCAAGGCAAGTTCCCCTCCGCACGCTCAGGTTTAGAGGGCCCAGAGGGAAGCTCTGATGCTCGGAGCTGCAGCTCCACCACAGCATGGGCGAAACCTCCCCTTCCCGGTCGCTCCGGAGCAGGGACCGGTCCTGGGTCCTGCTGCGAGGGGGGAGTTAAGCTGCAGGGGTAGCGCATCCCCATCACACCGTCATGGGGTCGGTAACTTGCACCTCTCTCCTTGTCGCATTCCAGAACAGAGGCTTCTCCAAGAAGAGTCACCCATTCCTGCCCAAGCTGTTTAGGAAAATGTCGACTCAGTCAGCCAAAGAAAGACCCGAAAGTTTGCACTTCCCCTTCCTGGACGATGAAGACACCATCGCCACGCTCAAAGAGTCCAAAACCTTCTTCATCCTCCGAGGCCTGCCCGGCAGCGGGAAGTCCACGCTGGCCCACGCTATCCAAGACCGGTACAAGGATGCCTGCAAGGTGATCTCGGTCGATGGCTATAAAATCACTCCTTCCGTTCGAAGCGCCATTCCCGAAGAGTATTCCAAGGTGGACGAGGATCTAGTTGACTATTGCAAACGCGACATCAGCGTTATCGTTTTGGATGACACCCACCACGAGAGGGAACGACTGGACCAGCTCTTTGATATTGCTGACAAATACCGGTACAAAGTCATCTTCGCCGAGCCCAAAACCCCGTGGCGACAGGATTGCTCGCAGCTGAAGGAGAAGAACCAATGGAAACTGTCAGTGGAAGAGCTGAAGAAGATGAAGCCGAGCCTGGAGAAGGAATTCCTGCCCATGTATTTTGGGTGGTTTCTGAGCAAAAGAAGCTCGGAGATCCTGCGCAAGGCTGGCCAGGCCTTCTTGGATGAGCTTGCAAGTCTCAAAGCCTTCAAAAAGGAGAGTAAATACTGTACGTATAGAAGCGTCTCACCCAGTTCTAACTGGTGGCAGAATGTTAGCACTTGGCAAGTGGAATGCATCCACAGGGCTTCCGAGGTGGATTTCTAGTTAGAGTAAGGAGCAAGGCCAGGCTATGAGGTACTAACCCCTAGTTCACAAAGGGCTTTTGGAAGTTCGGTCCCACCTTGTGGGAGCTGGGTCCGGCACCAGCATCGGGGGCCTGGGCACGGCCCCAGCTGGATGGGTGAGAGCAGAACCAACGTGGAGCCAGGGAGCGAAGGGAAGGATGGAGCCGGCTGTCCCCTGAGGGGTCTGACAGGGGCAGCGTTGGCCTGAGCCCGAGGATGTGCAGAAGCCTCTGTTTTGTGGTCCCATGCATCAGGGTACGGGGGGGGGAGTTCATTTCCCCACCTGCTCCTTTGCAGCATTGAGATAAACCAGGAGGGCAGGTTCTGGGCTATTGCTGGCGTTGCTGGGGCTCTCACAGTAACATCGCTTCCCCCCCGTCTGCAGTTGCTTCCGCTATCGAAGACCCCAAAATCAAACTCGCCCTCACCAGCTACTTCGTGAAGAGGCCGCCCGGGGTCCTGCACTGCACCACCAAGTACACCGAGTTCGGGAAGGCAGCCGGGGCCGAGGAGTACGCGCAGCAGGAGGTGAGCAACCGGTCCCCTGGTGGCCCCAGGAGCTGTGGGGTGGGCTGGGGACACGGCCTGAGCTGAGGCCCAGTATGGGCACAGCGGCAGCTGGAACTGGAGGATGTTAAGGTCCTTTCCAGCTCTATTCTATGAGTGCATCCCTGTGCAATAGAGAAGTTGGAGGAGATGGGGACTGTTTCCCATGGCAGGGGGGTTGCAAGTAGATCACCTTAAGGTCCTTTCCAACCCTAACTATTCCAGGATTCTAAGATTTCCTGTATGCTTCCAGAAAGCCCATTCCTGCAGCATCTCCAACAGCTTGCTTTGGGTGATGATGAACTGCTAAAGGATTTGAAACCCAATAAACCCAAGTTAAATACTGGAATGTGGGAGGGAACAAGACGCAGCCAGCTCCAAATTCATGGAGCAGGGACTCGGGCCATGGGAACTTGGAGTTGCCCATGGTATTTCCAATAGGTCCCTGTGATCAGCCAGGCCCCCAAGCACAGGGCTGCAACCCCCTTGCCTGCAGGCAGCTGAGGCCGTGCTCTGCTTCCGTCCCTGTTCCCCCAGGCTGTGAAGGCTTCGTACGGCAAAGGCTTCACCTTGTCCATCTCGGCCCTGTTCCTCACGACAAAAACTGTGGGTGCTCGCGTGGAGCTGAGCGAGCAGCAGCTGCTGCTGTGGCCGGGGGATGCCGACAAGATCCTGCCCACCGACAGCCTCCCGAAGGGCAGCCGGGCCCACATCACCCTCGGCTGCGCCAACGGCGTCGAGGCCGTGCAGACGGGGCTGGATCTGCTGGAGTTCGTGAAGCTGGAAAAGGCAGGGAACAAAGGGGAAGAAGTGGGGGAGATTGGAGGAGGGAAACTGCTGTATTTTGATAACGGGATGTGGATGCTCACCCTCTCGAAAAAGATCGATGTGAAGGCGATATTCTCGGGGTACTACGGAAAAGGGAAACTCGTGCCAACGCAGAGCACCAACAAACGGGGCTCCGCTTTTAGCTCCTGCACCATCATCTAGGAGCGTGGGGAGGGCGCCTCGTTTGCTTGGCTTTAAAAGGCAAGTAACTCCTGTAACCTTTAAATGTGGAAAGAGAAATAATGCTACCTTTACTAAAGCCCTTTTGCCAGCCCCTGGGTGAAGCCTCTCTGCAGAGGTAACCGGCCTCTGAACAAGGACGAAAACAAGCACCAAAGCAAAGCTGCCCCATAACCACTGCCGGCGGCTGAAGGGCTGCTGAGGGTATTTAACACAAGTGTGCTCTGCTTGTTTTCCTCCTCAGAGGAAGAGCCCCCATGGTCTCTTGTAACTTCCCTATGAACCACAATCGTTTGATCCTTACCTGTCAGCACCCCAAAGCCTGCACAGACGGGGCTGACGCCAAGCGACACAACCGCCCCTTGGCTCCCCTTCATCTGCAGCCCAGGGCCCGACCCCACTCATTCCGGTACCCGAGGCCTGGGTACAACCCTGCAGGACCCTGGTGCAGGTCCCTTCTGCGTGGCAGTTACTGAGCCCAGGCTGCAGGAGGGGGCACATGGCCCAGGGGGGCCGCCAGCCATGCTCTGCCCAACTCCTGTCTGTGCCCATGTCCCTTCACCGCAGGGGAGGGATGCGCTGGCGAGCGACAAGGAAAGGACCTTGGCAGGCGGTGTCTTAAAGGCCCCTGCGATGCAGTGAAAGGGAAGCACCAGGAGAGGTGCTCAGATCCTGCAGCTTCCCTTCACCCATCGGAGCGGGCGGGAGCAAGCACTGTCCCTGTCCTTATCCTGTAGGGAACAATCCTGCCTCGGCAGGGAGCGGAAGAGATGAACTCGAGTCTTTTCCATCTTTGATAGAAACTAAAATCGTGTCTGAAGTACAGCAGAGTACTTCATGCAAGATTTTCCTACTTTCGCTAATGCACTTGAATGTTAAGAGGTAGGATGGCAGTAACATCGTAATCTAGGACGTAAGCAGAGGCACTGTAACTGCCTAACTCAAGGCTGCTCAAACCTAAACCGCTGGCTGGAAACACAGAAGTTAATGGTCAAGCACTCCTGTTCCGAAGCCTCTTCTATGGGAGCTTCTGGTTTTGCTCCATTGCCGGTCGGTCGGTGGCTACGCGGTCACTAACACAAAGCTCGACTAACGCACTTCAGGCCAGGCCACCAGTTTAAACTCCCGCTATGGCTCCGTGAACTGGTACTGGGATTAACCCTGTGCTAACACGTGTACATACTCACCGTGTGTTGGACAAGCCCGTGCTGGGCTGGGGAGGAGCCGTTCCGGGGGCTGCAGCGCGGGGCGCACCGAGGCCGTTCCGGGGGCTGCCCAACGCTGCCGGGCAGGAGGCGTTTCTCCTCCGAGGGTTCAATGCGGAGCAAGCGCCGCTTGCCCAGGGAAGCCGACCCGATCCTGCTGCTTCAGAAAGAGGGAGGAGGGTCAATCCCCACTGCCACGTAAACCGAGGGGACAGAAACACCCCCCCCGCGCCCACCCTCCTCCCCGGGCCCCGGGTCCAGCTTTGGGCCTTCCCACCAGGAATCCCACGCGGGTCTGTTCCACCTGACCGTGCTGAAGGCCTTTCCCCGCGCGGGAGCTCGCTGGCCCCTCTCCTCCCCCAGGGCCCAGCACCCCTGTGCACTCTCTTTGCCTGTCCAAGAACAGCAGCGCGACTGTCGTCAGTTCAGGTTTTATTAGTTTGTACATCATATACAGTTTATAATAAAGTAAACCGATTGCATATGGTTCTGCTGCAGGCTGCGACATTCTTCATAGAAACACGTCAGGATGGATTAGGCCTAATGAAGTAAACAACAAACATTCACATTGGTTCACCATTCACATCCTAGAAAGGTGGGGTCTGGAGGGACAGCGCCCGTCCCGCTGCGAAGCCCGGCTTGGAGAGGCCGCTGCGGTTGGCAAAGCGATGGGGACAGCGGTTGCTCCATGCAATAATTCCCTTTCCTCCCATGGGAAAGGTGAAGGTATTTACACTGAGGTAAACATTCCGAATTTGGGGTCAGATAAACACTGCAGCAGGGGCCAGCGTCCTCTCCAAGGCGGCTTCGCATCGGTGCCTGCTTCAGTCCTGCCTGCTCCTGAAGCCGTTACAACAAAGCGGATACGCATGCAGGGAGGTGCTGGTCACTGGCTTGCCCTCCATCCCTCCAGCGGTGCTTCCCGTGGTCCTCTGGAGCCTGAGCTGTGCAGGGAAAGCGGGCGCAGGATGTGCCCCAGCTGCTGCCCCAGCTTGAGCTCAGCCCCGCTGCCATGGGGATGCTGCCTGCCCCTTGGGAGCTGGGATGTGCACCAGAGCGAAGCCTTGCCTCGCACGGCTCAAAGGGGAAGGGATAATCCTGGCCCTGACCTGGCCCCGAGGCCATGGTGTTCCACAGCATCTTCCCATACAGGGGTGGCTCCAGCAGCCAGGGATGCTGCACGGGAGCAGCCTCCAGCCCAGGGGTCACAGAACGGCTGCAGCAGCCACACTGGACCCCAGCGCTGCTCCCAGGGGCCTGGGCAAGCGAGACACCGGAGGTGCCCATTCCCTAGGGAAGGGGTGGGGAGGGTACAAGGCACAAATTGAACGGGGATGGAGACCATCCGCTTGAACGTGACTCTCCCACTGACAGAGGGAGTGATTGTGGAAGCAGAGCCAAGCACGGTGTGGTCCATGCTTTGGTCGTTCAGCTTGGGCAGTGCGCAGCCTGTTTCCATGTTGGAAACGAGACCAGAGCACAGCAGCTTCCCTCGGTATCCCTTCAGATACAGCCAGGCAAGGGACTTGCAGCATCCCATGGACAGCACCGCTGTTGTCCCTAAACGTTCTTTAGCATCTCTTTTGCCTCTTAACTTGCATTTACAGAACAGTCGCACACCTTTAGCACTGCGGATCCAGCTTTAGAGCAACACCTCAGAGCTCACAGACAATCCCATGGACCTTCCTATGTAGCCTAAGATGTGGTTGAAACCACAAAGACCCTGTTCAGGCAGGCAGCCAGAAGCACCTCAGCCATTACAGCTGATTCAAGTCCAGGTTCAGAGTATCTGGCCAGGGCTCCCAATACTCAAAGATGCTGCCTCAGCATCAGGCTTGTAAATCCACCCAAGGAAAACCACCCCAGGCCTTGTGCTCTGGAGCCTGACCATTGCATGTGCAAGTATCTCCCTTGCCACGGAGCAGGCTCTTTGGGTGTCCTTCAGGGGTAAGCATTAAGGCTCTGCCATTGCACCAAACAAGAAGCCTTTCAGGAACTACAGGAAAACCCTTCCCACTGAAAGGCAGGGCTTTGCCATGGGTTTCTTCCACTGCCTAAGCTCTCACCATCCCAAAAGGAGCAGTGCTTCTGAACGCATCCTGCTGCACTTGTGCCTCAAGGGTACCACCTACAGCAACGCCTCCTACCCCTCTCATGAGCTCTTTATCGCTCTCGAAGCAGCACGGGCAGAGCATCACCTGAAGACGATCTCTGTGTTCAATGATCTCTGTGGCAAACGCCTGCATCTGGTAGCTCCCATTTAGCGAGCAGCTAAAACAGCAGCACAAAGGCTCCACAAAACACAAGCCATGAGTAAGAGCACGACTCCCAAGGGTGAAAGGCAACAGCTTCTCCTGTGTCCCGGCCGGGCTCCAAAGCCACGGCACCGACACCTCCAGGCCCCCGTCCCGAGGTGCCAGAGGCACCGGACACCTTCCCTGTGACACACGTATTAATGCTCCTCAGGAGAGCCTTGGCACTCACCACAGGGATATTTAACAACATTAAATCATGCATTCCTGTACAGTGAGGAAGATCTGCTGTATACAGAGAACCATTCCACTCCGGGCCTCCAAGCAACAGCCTCGGTCAGGGTTTGGAGGGCAGGAGGAAGCCTCTCATCACCAGGGGGAGGGAGAATAAGAGTAAAACCCACTGACAAATGCAGACACATCACTGCATGGTGAGAGAAGCCCCAGCTGTACAGTAACATCAATACACACAGGACAAGACACGATGAACCCGGACTGCCACTAAAATAAGTCCCGTGAACTCTGAGTGACCAGTGCCATGAGGACTGGAGAAGGATCAGTATGCATAGACTGGTATTTCAGTTCCCCAGATCGTTACCCTGTCAGAGTCTGAGATGCCAGGACCTTATTTTGCCCTCAGTGCAATCCGGATCAGTCCATCACCTTACACTGGTGTGGAGGAGGTTACAACAGACACCGGAGAGTCTGGTTTTGGGAACACTACACAACATCAGCTACGTTAAAAGCTGACTTTGGAGCGAGTTATAAAATACTTGCTTTATTCTGCAGTACTAGAATTGAAGCCCTTAAATCTTCCCTCTCTGAAAGCAGATTGTCAAGAGGTCTGACCCAACACCAGCACAGGACCGCAGGAGGCGGCGCCGGCAGCACCACCACACTATTGCCATGTTGGAAGCAAAGAGAACTCGCACTGCAGCCTAGCAACTGCCACTGGCTAGGAGGAGTGCAGCCCTCGAGAGGGAGGAAGACAAAGATGTCAGCATTCAAAGTGATCGTTTCAGGCAATGAACTCATTGCGATTGTTGTTCCTGCAGGAAGAAGTGAAATCAGGTGAACAGCCCTTTCCTCAGCCACACAACATCCCATCCTCCCCATGCTACCGCAGGTTGGCTCAAGCACCCTAAATACAATGCCGCCGATGCTCAGCCCTTCTCACTGGTGTTACCGACACATTTCTCCTCTCAAACCCCATTTCTGAGCAAGCCAGCCCAGAGCTTGGTCAGCCAAAACCCCGCACTGCGCTCCAGAACCACCCTGCAGCCAGCACCATGCTTGAGCAAAGCACCAACCCACAAAGGCTCTTCGTGTGCTAGAGGAAGGGGAAGACCTCTCCTGGCTGATCCCACTGCAACAACTCCAGCAGGGAATGAACCAGTGTTGGCTTCACTGGCAGCAGCACCAAACCAACCCCACTGCCAGCTCAAGCGGAGCAGGCGCGTGGCTCCAGCCCTGTCCCAGTGTTGTGCGAGGGAAGCAAGCAGCAGCCTGTCAGCCCAGAGCCTGACCCTGCGTTTTCCTGCTTCTTTGGGCTAGTCAATGACTCCCAGTTGCAAACTGCTTGCCCAGTTGAAGGTATTTGTACCGTCCCAGTAAACACGAGGAGAGCACGCTGCTGTGCGTGCACGGGAACCGCCTGCAGTCAGGAGCCTGAATGGGAGAGCATCAGTACCCGAAATCAAACATCAAGCTCCATAAAATCAAGTTTCAGCACAAATATCAAATGTTCAAGTGGATTCATGAGAAAAGAATAAAATGAAGTAAAAAGCACAGAAATTCAGCCCAAATTCAACGTTCCCTTGAACAGGACGACTCGCGAGAGTGGAAACACAAAGCCCTTCATTCCAGCTGCGTCACAGGCAATTCTCACATAAGCTGCTCTTTTCAATCCAAAAAAGCATTTCTCGGATACAAAACCATTCAGCTCACACGTTAGCATTTCAGTTAATGCCCCAATGTACCATCCTGATTGAACCATGGCAAATCCCCCCCCAAAAACAAAGAGAAAGGACAGGGAAACGGCGATTGTATGAAACCCGATTGAATCTTGGCAATATCTTCAGGAGGTTAAGATAACTTTACAAGTTACTACAGCCCCTGGCCATGCTGCCATCCTGCACTTCAGAGCCAACTGACATAGGAGCTTTCTTCAGTCTCTTTCAAGATTCCAGGAGGACTTGGGGGATATCCTCTGCTCCTAAGGAGCAGGAACAGTCCAAAGGTAGGGGCCAGCGTGGAGGGACCAAGAGATTCAAAGCTTTATTTTTCTTTCTCTTTTTTAATAAAGTTAACAGTAAAACAGAAGTCACAAGCCTTCCCCTCCCCGAGCTGGTTTCCTCTTCACACAAAAGCACACAAAACAGAGGTCTCCAACCGAGAAAATGAAACTGCTCTAAGTACAATGAGACATGACGAAGGAAAGGAGTCTAAGTATGTCCGTGTTCAAGGTTAAAAGAAGCAGATCAGGTATGTGTGGTTTGGTTTGGGGGGTTTTTTTAGCCAAATTGGAAAAAGAAATTTCCAGGCCCAGAAGCTGAAAAAGAAAATTGCAGATATTAGCTCCGAGGTACTTTGAGGTGTAAAAGTCACATTCTCTTTTAAAACAGCACAGGGAAACTCAGCCATCCCATCAAGCCATCTGCGTACTCACGTGTCCATAGCTGAGAACGCTGCCACCTACCTTCAAAACTGAAGCCACCTGGCCCACCAAAGAAGGCCTTGAAGATGTTATTTGCATCAAAGTCTACGGGGAAGAGAAGGAAGTTGTGAGCAGAAGTGAAACAGGCCGCTACAGCTTTCATAGCACACAAACCACCATACACTGAGGGCCCACAGAGCATGTTATGGACAGAAAGCCAAAACCAACCAGCCTGCTCTGAGCACTGACTAGTAGAAAACAGGCATTTGGAGCAGCTCTGCCATTCAGATGCTTTTGAAGACTAATCTGAGCCACTTCATAGTATTATTACAACTTGGAGGTTTGCTTTACGGGAGAAGGCAGCCTTCAAATGCTCCCATCTTTCTAAAGGCTGCCGTGGTAGAACACCGTAAGGAACACCTACCTCCCATGTTCAATCCATCCTCTTCTAGGTCCTGGCCGCTGTCATAGCGAGCCTTCTTCTTGGGATCTGACAGGATGGTAAAGGCTTCTCCAACCTCCTTAAACTTCTTCTCCTCTTCCTTCTGTACTTCTGCACTTGCCCCGCTGTGTCGGTCTAAGGATACAAAAGCAAGTAGGAAAGCAGCTTTTAGTTTCTAGTGTAAATGGAAACCACTGCACATTCCTAGCCATGCCACGTGTATTTCAGAGCTGTTGTGGGATCAGAACTCCTCTTTGTCCAGAAATCCCCTCTCTCCTATTTATTCCTGCCTCTGAGTGATAGTTGTGCAGGGCACATGTAGGGAGCAAGGGATCACTAACCCCTGCTCTAAGAACAGGCTGTTTGTGGATACCTGGATGATGCATTAGTGCTCTTTTCCTGTAAGCCTTCTTGATCTCATCCTCAGAGGCATTTTTGTCCACCCCAAGGATTTTGTAGTAGTCTTTCCGTTTGCTCTTCTTCAGTTCCACCTGTGCGTTCTTTAGAAGCTGTTTGTGTTCTAGAAGGAAGCACAATGCCAAAGGAAAGCGACTTTAGTGGCAAGAACAATCTCCTGCTTTAAAAGCAGCTCAAGATGAACATGTTGAGGCGACCTGGGCTGAAGGATTCAAGTGCCACAAGTAAGCAACCTGCTTGGAATGAGTCATGAATCTGATTAAAGCTTCACTGTCCACTGAAGGCTGTTTCCAACTGCAGGGAAATGCCTCCGTGCTATTAAATCAGTCCCAGACACAACCACCAGCACTAAGGTTACTCTGTCTGCATCATTTCGGGCTACTCAAAAAGCAAGGTGACAGTAAAGAACAAGAACCACAGGCAGCTATTCTGAATCTGGGGCACTGCTTCAGCTACAGGGTAAATTATCTTCATACTGGAAGAGAAACCAGGTTGTGAACCAGGCATTTCAGAGTGGTTCTGAGAGCTCCTCCAGCAGTGCCCTGCTGGGGCAAAAGGCTGCAAATCAGAGTATCACGTAGGGAAAAAAGGCAGACAAAATCACCACCACCAAAAAAAGGCAGATAAGGGGAATGTACGCTCGCAGAAAGAATGCCAATACACTCACCTTTTGTTTTTTCTGTCTGATAAACCTTTTCATAGTCTCTTACAGCATCTTCGTATTGTTCTGTGTCCATGTAACTGTGGAAAGAAACACGGGTGGCCAAGGTGCACTTCCCCAGGGAATATCAAAAGGGGGTTCAGGTACAAGCTCTCTGGCTGGATATGAATTAAGGAAAAGCAGTGCACTGGGCTGCAGAAAGAGCAGAACCCCCAAGGGGTCACTGCTCAACTGCCTGGAAGCCCAGACACGTGCTATTAGTGGGCAATCCTGGCCCAGGAACCTGCAGCCTCATTTGGCAGCACAGGTTCTGCTGTACCAATCTGATCCTCACTTGACCCAGCTGCAGGAACTGAAAGCAGCCAGCAAGATTCCAAGGGAGCTGGTGCAGAGCTGTACAGTAGCAGTGCTGGTTGGAAGTGACAGTCCTGGCACCTCAGAGGGATGGGTGCCTGTCTGTTGGAACTGCAGCCTCACTCACGTATTAACCACTTACTGTCATTTAGCAGTTACTGATGTGGAGCTTGGGGTTGTACACTACAACGAATGCACAACTGGAAGGCTGCAGCAGCAGTTTCAGTTCATTTATAAGCCAGGCAGCTTCGCCACAGAGTGAGAAATGAGTGATGAGGAAAGCAGCAAATACACCCATAGTCAGAACAGAGCTCTGGCTGCTTCCCTGGCTGGTGCCAACTTACAAAGGGAGACACACAGACCTGAACTGCCTCTGCACAACCCCCTCAGCCTCGCTGCACGACACTGCAGTATTATCTAGGGCTGGACTCTGCACAGTCCCAGCTGATTTCTCCTTGGCATCCCATTTCAGAACGTGCTCTGTTGGAAGTGGGGAGCAGCTCTGCCAGGGGAAGAGCTCTCACCCACAGCAGCCCTTCTGGAAAAGGCTCTCTGGGACTGAACGTCTTATGTTAGTCTAGAAACAGGCTTTAGAACTAATCCTGCCTAAACACAGCAATCAATAGGCAGTGCCAGATCCATGCAGGCAGAACAGGCTACACAGGGCTTCCCCTGCCAGCAGAAGGAAGAGGAATAAATTCAGTACTCCTTAAGACAGAACCTTTTATCCAGTTAAGCTTCAGATTTGCTACCCCTGCACTCAGGGCTGTGGGGAGGAGGTCCCTACCCACAAACATGCTCAGCATGTCCATCACAAAGCTCTACTTACCATTGTGCTCTCCTCAAGTATGCTTTGATATACGTGTCATCCAGTTTCACTGCGTTCGTGCAGTCATCTATTGCTTCTTCAAGTTTCCTAAGCTACAATGGCAGACAGAAGTTCAGTGAATCCCCACCAGAACCAACGCTGCTGAGCAGCATCATGACTTCAGGCAAACGAAAGGTGGAAAGAATCTTGGAAAACCTCACTCCTTTGTGTGTCTGCATCTAGGAAATTTTTCCCAACCCCCCAGAACACAGAGCTGTTGTTCCCTAGGGAAAGATTAGCAGCTTAGCTAATGAAATGGTGGAATTATGTGGTGGTGCTCTGGGTCTTCCTGAGAATGATCCCAAACCAACTGCTTCTGTGTCCAAACTGACTGCCACACGGAAAAGAAACTTGAAAACATTTCAAGGATTTCTGGTTAAAGCACTGTTTGCTTTCAGACACAGCCATGCAAAGGAGCCATTCCTTCTGCCTCCAGCTCAGCCCCCTCCCCAGCTCTGGACACCAGCCTCTGGCTCCTGACCCGGCTGGGGTGCTGAAAAGCCTCCTGGGTAGAGCAGGCACCGACACAAGAGACAGCTGAGGAAGAAACGTGCCTAGAGAAATGCAAGGGGGGGAACTGGAAGCACTGTCACATGTCTGACTGCTTCACTGGACAGCGCAGAGCTAAAATGCAGCAGCAAACCTGGGGAAAAAGGAGTGCCCAGGGTTTTTAAATTGGGTCTCATTGGTTTAGATCAAAACCCCAAGAAAGACAGGATGACCTACAAGAAAAAGAGCTATCTCCTCATTACTGGGAAGGAAACAAATACAGATCCTTTCTGCTGATTAAGATAAGGCTAAACTATGTTCCTCCTCTCCCTCCCACTCTGTGCATCCCAACTATTGGAGTTTTGTTTCTTTGGGAGTCAGCTCCGTTGGCTGTTTGGAACAGACCCAATCGTTGTGCAAGCACAAAAACCTGAACCACTGCCCACAGCACTAGAAAGGTCCTGCTGCCCAGCAGCCAGAGAAGCCCATGCTTTCCACAAGAACTGATCTGCAACTTATGCACCACCTGGCAGGGAACACAATGAGAGCCCCGCCAGGGGACTGCTTCTTACCTTTGAATTAACCGTCCCCCGGTTGCAGTACAGTTTGGCATTTGTTTTTATATTATTGGGATCTATCCCCAGTGCCTCTGTGTACAGTTCATATGCTAGTTTGTAGTTTCCATCTTTGAATGCTTTATTCCCATCTTCTTTCTTCGCTTTAAGTGCTTTGGCATTCTGAAAAGAAACACACCCTGGTTAAGGACATTGGGAAACTGGCTCGGGGGGGACCAAGCACCTCATTTTGCTGGGTGAGGGTCCTCAAAATGTAATGGTTTTAATTTGGTTTCAGGCACCACTGCAGGATACAAGGTCTCAGCCCTGCTACAGCAGCTTGACAAGCTGCAAGTGTTCTGCCTTTCCCCCCCAAGAGAAGTGCTAAGGAACAGTCAGTGCCAGTCACAGGCACTCTCAAGGGCTGCCTCATTTTTAAGATGAGAATGTGACAATGAAGTAAATTTATGGATTAAAAAAAGGAAAGAGGAACCTCAGATTTAGTCAAAGAGCTACAACAGAGGAGCAATGTGAAAGGAGCAGTGTTCAAACACAAGTCAACCTGCGGGCACCAAGTTCTTCTAGAATACAGTGAGTTTTACTGTTGCTCTCTCTGATCAAGGAACAAAGAGTGAAAGGGAGGCAGCCTTCAAAGTGTCAGAGTCTTCTGAGAAGGAGCTTCTAGCAACTCAGTTTTACCTAAAGCAGCAGCTGCTTGGCTTTGGGAAGGACACGTTACTTGCTACTGGAGCTCTGGGGAATGACAATGTTGAGGGAGGGAGAAGGGATTGATCCAGCAGAACCAAATGAGGTGTGAGGGTGAGAAAAAAGAAACCCCTGGTAATTCTGCAGCCCCATCCCCAGTGGCCAGGACTCACACGGCAGGCAAGACATGCTTTCTCGTGGTCAGGAGCCATTCGGAGAGCCTGGACAAAGAACTGCACTGCCTTCTCAATACAGTCCTCATAATACAGGCACAGGCCCCGCACATAGAGAGCGTCCGCGTTCGTCGAGTCCATCCGTAAGATGTCACTGCAACAGACACATGGCAAAGTGAAATGTTTCCCTATTCCAGTTTCCTTCTGCCCTCCAAAAGCCCTCTTCTTCCACTGAGATACTCAGTTACTTTATCAAGTCTGTGGCACAGACGTGCAGTAAGTCTGGTTCAAGCAGCACTGCTGGTTATTAAGAGTCTAAATGCAGGTAAGATGAGCTTTAAAGAGCATAAACCCATGCTCTCTTCTTCCTCATCACAATTTGCATTAAGGACTCTGTTTCCATATTGCCTCATTCATTCCAGGCTGCAGTCAGGACTCCCCACCAGCTGTAACTCCAACTCCAGCCCTCGAGACACTCACCTTGCTACAGACTGTGCCTCTGGGTAGCGACCCAGTAGCGCCAAACACTCAGCCTTGAGGATTTTGAACCGGTGACAAGCAGGAGCAAACTCCAAAGCACGATCCATGCAAAACACAACCTGGTGTGGGGAAAAAGACACACAAACGTGAGCAAAGCAAACAGCCCAAAGCCTAATTGGAAAGGCTGCACCATCAGCACCACTGAGATTTCATGTTTGCCTCTACCCAGGAAGGAAACCATGCAAACATCCCTTTCTTCTGCTGCTGGAGACTCACATGCAGGTGTTTTACCTTTTAAAGGGCTTTGGGTACAAAGGTCCGGGGCACCTATGTTACTGTCACAGAGCACTACAAAGAAGATGCAAGGGACACCTGTAGAAGGTCCATCCCTGTAACTCTTCTGAAACTGCAGGCCCTACAGGAGGAGCCAAGGCAGACAATTCTGCCCCTGTCTCCTGCATCATAAAGACACGGGGGAAGGACACAAATGCAATCAACTGAGAGACTTTGGGCTGGACAAAACACAAAGTACAGTGAAAGGCCCTCATCTTCACTGCTCTGCCTGCAACGGGCAGGGTGATCTAATGGGTCTTTTCCATCTCTGCCTTGCTGGTGGGGACATCTGCACGAGAAGAGGGTCATTGTTCCAGCAAGGTTCATCTGCTTGCCCGGCCGTGACATCACGAGTGCCGGCGCTGGGAAGCACTGGGCTCCAGACTGCAGCTTCTGGGCGAGGAAGGAGCAGGAGCAGCTCTCCAGAAACAAAGCTGACATTTCATGCAAGCCTCCCCACTGAAGGGGCACAGGGGAGGTGAAGGGGCAGATGCAAAAGCCCAGAATATGCAACCCAAGCAGGGCAACTCCTACACATCAAGCTCAGGTTGACCTGACATCCAATCTGTGCCTCATAACCAGGGGATACAAAGGTGGCATTGACCCTTCCACAATCTTGACAGCTTAGCCTAAGAATCAGTGACCTGAACTATGAGCTTAATGTGCCTGACAATCTCCTTTCTGGGCCAAACTTGGACCTTATATGCATCCACTGAATAGAAACAGTTGGTCAAGAAGTCAGTTTGGTGCCTTTCAGATTTCATGCTGTCATTTCTTACTGTATCAGGCCAGTATCAGTGCATCCTGTTGCAGCCTTTGGGAAGAAAGATTTGGAAGCAGCAGTGAGAATGCCCCAGGCAGATGTGCATTCCCCCTTAGTGACCCTCCCTAGAACACTGCCACACAACAGCCTTGGGTATGCACTTTAATTGAAGAGCTGAGAAAGAAGAATCTTGAACATGCACCTTAGGAGCAAAGCACCATCAAATGCTGCTGCTGACAACACCTGTATCAGGAGCTCCTGTAGGAGGCCTACAAGGCTGCTGGGGAGGGAATCTTCATCAGGGCCTGGAGCAATAGGACAAGGGATGATGGGTTTAAACTAAAACAGGGGAACTTCAGGTTAGATACAAGGAAGTTCTCTACTGTGAGGGTGCTGAGGCACTGGAATGGGTTGCCCAGGGAGGTTGTGAATGCTTCATCCCTGGCAGTGTTCAAGGCCACGTTGGACAGAGCCTTGGGTGACATGGTCTAGGGTGAGGTGTCCCTGCCAATGGCAGGGGGTTGGAACTGGATGATCTTCATTTCCTTTCCAACCCAAAGCAGTTTGTGATTCTAGATTCTATAAACAGCTCATTTGTGGCTCCACTCACCCTGCAAAGCAAACAGTAACAGAGCCATTTTCAGAGCTATGACACAGTTCACAAGACAGCCCTGCTTCAACAGCAGATGTTGTACAGCACCTCCCATGAGGGCCCAGCTAATGCTAGGCAGGGAAATCAGACATGCACGTGCCTGAACCAGACAGATAAGACACAGAAACAATGGAGTCAAGCTCACCTTCCTGAAATCCCGTTTCTCAAAGTCCACCTCAGCTATTTTCTCATACTCCAGCACAGTAGTGGCGTTCTTCAGCTGAAAGACAGGAGAACACAGCAAGTGTTGCAGGACAGTCACTGCTCCGAAACGCCACCAAGCAGCATTTAAGCACTGACCCTTAAGCACAATCCCTAAACTATCAGAGCAGAAAGTACTGCAGACCATGGAACAGATTTATGGCAATACTTCTGTCAACATTAAAATCAGTTTGAAATCAAGTGACCTAACTGGCAGCCCAGGAAAATGTACCCCTGTGAATGAGATACAGAAATGGCAGCAGCCTTCTATCATAAGCCCCTAACATAAGGATGTGGAGCTGCTGGAGTGAGTCCAGAGGCCAGGAAGATGCTGCAAGGGCTGAAGCAGGCTGAGAGAGCTGGGCCGAGTCAGCCTGGAGAAGGCTCCTTAAAGGGAGACCTTAGAGCAGCTCCCAGTGCTGTGCTTGCACGCTGCACACTGGAAACAAAAGGCTGACCAGTTCAATCCATTCCCTCTGACAGCCCCATTGACTGGGAATATTTAAACCTTAAGGACCTCTCACCTCCTGCTGTGCCTGGGAATTCTTATGATCCAGTTCTAAAACTCGTTGAAAGCAGCGGCTGGCAGCCATGGCATTCCCTAGGGAAAGATGGCACTTCCCTTCCCGTAGATGGCCCTGAGGAGAGTTAAAAGGGAGTTGCAATAGGTGGAGGCAAGGGTATTGAGACAGGAGTAAGAAGTCTGATGTTCTCCACGTACCCTTACAAAGGTATCATCCAGTCTGACAGACTGCTGAGCATCTCCCAGTGCTTCTCGGAATCGCCCCAGCATCATGAGTGTGGCAGCTCTGTTGCCATAATAACTGGCATTATTGGGACAGGTATCTGGAGGAGGTGTAAAAGCACTCGCTGTTAGTGTCATGCAAGCAGCTAAGCAACTTGTAGAACATCTTAAAAAGCCCTGGTTGCATTAAAAACTCACCCAATCCTCCCTGTTTTAAAACACCACCAGACTGGCTTAAGATGACCCATGATGGTCCAGCAGTTGTTCTGAGCAGCAAGGCATAAAACTACTGCTCCCCACACCATACACAGGAGTTAACTCCTGCAGAACGAAAGCAAGTGGTGTTCAGCCTGGCAGCACTGCTCACCCTGAGTTAGGGGGAAAGCTGGCCTGGTTTCCTGTTAGCAACATCTTGGCTGAAGGAGAAACCAAGAACTGCTGCAGTCACCCATGCTGGCACCGACCTGCACTCCCCCCAGTGAAACTGCCCAGGCAAAGAGCCTGCACCCAGCATGTGCTGTGAGAAACCCTGCTGCTTTGTCTGCACTCAACAACCAGCTTTGAGTTTTCAACGTGGTACTCAGCAAAGGTTTCTATTCCCAACTATTCTCACCTATGGCTTTCGTGTAATAGTTGTACGCTTCGTTGTAATCCTTCTTGGCGTAGTACGCGTTTCCTTGTTCCTTGAACGACTCTGCTTCTCTGAAAGGAAGCAAAACACCACGTTTGGGGAGGAACTGAGCACCAGGACAGATTCTGACCATGACTGAGCATTTGATCCCCAAGCAACCTTGTTCAAAATGCTTGTAGCTGGTTGCTGCGAGGTCTCCTCTGTAAACCCTGTGCATGAGAAACCACACACACCCCATCCAGCTGCCTCTCATCCTTCTTCACTTCACCAGGGCCATGAGCAGGGGTACTCAGGGGTGTTACCCTGGCCAATACTACAGGGGCACTGGCTTCCAAGAGCCCAGCAAAACTCCCCAGTACATGGTTAATGAAAGCAGCCTGCTCCTGTCAGGTGCTGCACAAGCTCAGCACTCACTGAAGTCAAGGAACAGAGCACTACTTATCTTTCAGTAGTCCCACATGCTTAAGAAACAGGGCCAAGAACAATTTCTACATTCAAAAGACAGCTAAATCAAAGAGAAAGAAGGGTGCAGCCTCAAGCAGAAGCTTGGCACTGCCTTGGCAACAGGTCCAGAAATAGTCCTCGCACTCGAGAGCAAGCATTTGCAGAGACAGCTTAGGACATTTAAAAACACACAACATATGGTTTAAAGCAGCATCCCTTAAACTCCTGAAAGCAAAGTTTCTCCTGAAGGAAATGAAACCCTTCCTTCTCCTCTTCCATTCACCTTCACCCTTTCAGAGAAGCAGTCCCAGAGGGCACTTATACCATGATGGTGTAGCTTAACTCAGCTTCACTGAATTAACCTCAGTGATTTAGTTCACTCGCTTCCCTCCCTGCACTGTTCAACACATAAAAACTGTGAGGCCGACCCGAAAGCAGCAGCACCCCGCTCTAGATTCGCATCCTGCTGTTGGGACTTCACTGCTGCAGCCCAGACACAGACACTGTTTGTCCCCTCTCGGTAGCACTCGCACAAGCAGGCAGCGCAGGAGCTGCGGCGGGGAGGAGGCACCCACCACTGAAGGCGAGCAATGTTCAGCAAGCCCACTAGGGAGAGAACAAAGGGAGTTGTGTTGAGAGGAGTTCAGCTGTTTTTCACCTCGCTCAGCCTTGCCATTGGCCATTCCCACACAGCTGCCTCATGCACGGGGTTGTTTTCAGGGAGCCAGCGCGGCCTTGCCAGCTGGCGAACAATGGACACAGGAGCTGCTCCTCACCTTCAGTTTGAACCTTTGCTGTCAGCTACAGCCCAGCAAGGGACCAGACACAGCCCTGCTGGAGCTCTGCTCTGCCAGATAGAGGGGAGAGCACACAGCGTGTGGCTGGGGGTGTTTGGAGCCTGGGTCCCATCCCTCTGAGCTGGGAGCTGCTGAACCTCCATCCACCCTCACCAAGGCAGGTGCCTGCTCTGCAGCCGTCCTCAGAGCCAGCACCCAGCAGCTCCCCGCAGGATCTACAAGGGACAAGTGCTCTGCAGGATTAGAAATGTGCCCAAACACAACCCCCTTTTTCCAGTGTTACCCATCAAACATTCAAAATACAGCAGAAAAACCAATCAGGGGTGCTGCAATTCCAGAGCCTTGGCAGGAAGTGCTTGAAAGAGAACTTTATTTTGTTTCTGTAATCATAAATGGAAAGAAAAAACCACAGATCCTATTAAAAGTCCCTTCCCTCAGAAGCTCTCTGTTGTGTAATGCACAGAATGGTGAACAGTACTAATGGCAGAAGTGATCTGCAACCTGCTTAGCACAGCAGCCCCCGATTCGCAAGTCTTTTAGCAATTTTACCTGTCATGTTCTGAGGAAGCATCGTTTAATAGAGAGCTAAAGGGCTGGGTGCCAGAGCATCCTGTCTGCCAACAGACTGCTGGGAAGAGCTGGGAAAATGGGAGAAACAAATAGATACATGGAAAAGCAGCTCTCACAAAGCACTGGTGTTCTGAGATGCTGGAGAAAACACGCAGATACACACCAATTACTGCTTTCTGGTCAGCCTTATTGGTTTGTTGTCCTTTTAATACAGACTGATGTGTCAACAGTCACAGTGCCTCAGGTAACACAAGAAGAAAGGAAGTCCACAGGTATTTCTATTGCTCACATGGCTGAAAGCTCAATGGTGACACAAGGCTGTGAAGGAGAAAGCTAACTGCCTTTAAAGCACAGAGGCAAAGCCAGTAGCTGGAAATGGCAGGCTATGGTCTGAGATCCCAGACCCAGAACAGAAGCATCTCTCCCCACTTGTGCTCCACTGACATAGAAAGCACACAGAGAAAACAGTTCTTGTTTACCACGGCCTCTGGCTCCAACAACAGCAAATGCAGATCTCCTGATATCACTGGTAATTGTTTCAATCCAAACAGATGCTGCAGCCTGAATGAGATCATTCTGCATCTCACACTGATGTAGGCTGCATTCCCCACTTGCTACTTTTGAAACCGAGGAAGAATCGTGCTTTGCTATAAATAGGCCCCAGGCTGAATGGATGGCTTTGTGATGGGACCTCAGTGTCTTCTCAGGGCCTCTCCATGCTGGACGCAGAGGACAGGGAAGGGATGCACCAAGGATCTTGGGAAGAAGCTGGTCTTTCACTGCCGGTGCGTAGCACGGGCGCACAAGGAGGGAAGTGTTTGGAGGAGTTTGCTCCCTGCGAGCTGCTCAACTGTTTTCTCCTCTGTTCTAACACTTGTCAGGACCCCAGCCCCTGTCACCTTGAGGAGCTGCTGCCAGCCGAGCACCCACTGCACAATCCCAGTGCTCCCAGGAGGGCGCAGCGGAGGAGCTCGCTGCCTGCCTGCAGGGAGAAGGAACCATCCCAAGGTTCCTTCTATTCCCTGTGCCCTGCTGCAAGCTCAGCCCCTGCTCGCTCCAGCAGAGCCGAGCTGGGAGCTGCAGCCATCCCGCGCACCACTGACACAACCCCACGGTTGCCTCCTCCTCCCCACAGCTCCCACACGCGGCCCCCGCTCCAGCGCTGCTCCTGGTTTCTGCCCCTCCTTGCTCCAGCTCCCAATGAGACACACGCAGCCGTACCCTGCAGTGCACCCAACTGCTGTCATCAGAACCCAGGGGGGGATCTGCACTAACACACCTCCCGGGTCCAGGTGTGCACAGGCACATGCTCAAAGTAATGCCCCCAGCCCCAGGAACCCAGCGCTGAAGCAGGAGGCAGACTTACTCTCTCCCGACCTTCACTCCTACTTCGTTTCCTGCTTCCATTATGAAACAGTGACAAAACCCCCTAAAATAGCTAGGATTTAAGGAAGGCTTCAAAATCCTGTCCTGGCCAAGCAATCTTTTTGGGGATGCTCTGACAAAAGGCACACACCTGCTTTTTCTAAGCGATTCTCTCAGAGGCTTGAATAGGATATGATGCTTTTACCCAGCATTTTGGGGGTTGGAATCCAGGCCAGATTCTCAGCTGTCAGATGTTCCTCAGCTGCTGGGGGTAAAATAAGTTTGATGATCTCAATAGGGTTTACAGCAGGCAGATGTCTGAAGCTTAAAATTAGCTGTCAGATTTGCCACTGGACACACGATCCCTCCCTTCTTGCAGGACTCAGAAGAGGAGCCAAACACTACACAGGCCACAGTGATACACACAGGATGTTTTTCCTTCCGTGCTTTAAAGGCCATTCCTCCAGGTTAGGCTTTACACTCTTAAGTGAGGATTCAGAGCAAAGGGAATATAACTCAATAGATAGGCAGATAGCGAGGTAGATAGAATCTCCCATCAGCAGTGTTTGTGGTTTCTGCCTCTGGTGCAAAAACCAACATAAAAATCACATACAACATCCAGTGTGATCACCCTCTGCAGCACAGCAGGATGCTGACCCTGGTGCAGCAGAGCCCGAGCTGCTGCACAGCACAGATTGCTCTGCACATCAGCACCCCCAACTGCACAAGGAGTGGGTTTACCACTGGCTGCAACAGAGGAATGAAAACGTGGATGCCTACTCACAGGCAGGGAAACCTTCAGCCTGTACATGCGAACATGTGCATGGAGAGTCTAAAAGCCCATCCTGTCCTCTACACACACCCCAGAACACCCCCAGTACCAGAGGACAAACTCAAACAGGGAAGACCAAAAGCCACAAGAACCAAAACATGCCACAAGGAACCAAAGGACTGAAGCAAACCTCTGCCTGCAGCTGTGAGAAGAGCCAGAGGAGCTCCAGCTTCACACAACCACTTCAATCCCAGCGCTCAGGATGAACCGAATTCACAGCCACAGCCTCACCATTTCTGGCAGGGGCACTCCAGAGCATTTGTGAAACCCCATGGAAGGGTCTGGAATCAGCTGGAGATTGCTGTTTTCCACAGGGGTCTAAATTAAGGATGAGATGGTAAACCAACTGCATCCACAATATGCTTCACCCTAAAGAAGCATGGCTCATGGTAAAGAAAAAGGCTGGAATTGTAGGTACTGTAGGTAAGTATTTCAGACTGTCTAAAGCAACCACCTAATTCAGAGTATTCAAATACTGCAAATCCACGGGCACGCAAACAATGAATGTGCAGCTTCTGCTCCTTGTATTATCATAAGATCATAAAGCAATTACGTCTTAGTAAAAGAGGCTGGGTTTACAGCCTGGGAAACTCAAGTTCCTGTTGACAAGTGGCATGGGAATAGTGGAACCTTCTCCGGGCTATCCCATAACAACCCTTACCCACCAGCAATGCATTTACAGCCAACCCACCCCCTGTGAATGCAGGGTATGGACAGGGCCAGGCTGCAGCTCTTCTTATGCAAAATAGCCTTGGTAAGACTCCTGCTCCTCACCAACACCTGAAAACCTCCAACACCTGCCAACCTGACTGACCCAAAGCCTCGAAGCCTTCTTGACTTCTGCACCATTTACTCTGCGTGGCAAGCTTCATGCTCATTGCTTTATTAAAGGTACCTGTGGTTTCCTACCGAGGCATCAACACAGCTGAAGGCTGCAGCTACAGCACCGTAAAGGCAACGGTCTGGGCAGATCATTTCATAATGGCATTTTCCAAGTGGCTGGAGGCATTTCTCCTGCATCCTCCAGTGCTGAGGAAGGAGAAGAGCCAGCCTGAAGCACGCACATCCGACAGGATCCGGCACTGCCAGGAGGATGACAAGGAAGTTCTCCCTGGCAAAACCCCAGCATCACAGGGAAAAACTGTGCCCATGGGTTAGAACCTTTACCATCCATTTAACAAGGTGACTTTTTGGGGGTGGCGCAGCCCCGCTCATCAGCACTGAGAGCACCGTTACCCAGCAGATAAAATTAACCCAGTTACATCAACCCTGTTCCATAAGGACCCCCACAATGTACCAGCAGCAGCCAATAATTACCCTGTGACCACACGCTATTCCTGTACCTTCAACAACCTGTGAGTGAGCTGTCTGGCACGGTTCAGCTGCTGCAGGGCACCAGTTACAACCACTCAGCAACACAGCTCTCCACTTGGGCTCATTTAGTGATTTGGATTAACCCCCCGAGAAGGGAACTGTGCATTTACACAAAGGCCTCAAGTGAAGTAACTGTGTCATGCTGTACTGTAATGCCTAAACAAAAGCACAGGGCACAGAAGCCCTTGGTGCTGACTTGCAGCAATGATTCAGGAAAGGTTTTCACCTCGTTTTGCTGGGGTTTACAGAGCACAGGCACATCCCAGAGGCTGCACTAAACCAGTGTGCGTCTGTGCATGCCCGTTAATGCAGAGCCTGTTTGAGATGGTTTATAGACATCAGGCACCTAATTAAGCCTCCAACTACTCTCCTTAGTACAGTGACTGTATCACCCTCGTTTACCTGAGATCAATTGAGCCACAGAAGTAAGAAACTGATGTAAGACAGGAAGGACTAAAGTGGAGGTGAGGTTTGAGGCTCAGGACCCCAAGAAGACCTGCCCTGGCTGGCAGAAAGGCATGAGATAAGATACTGAGATTAGATGCAAGGAAGAAGCTCTTTACTATGAGGGTGCTGAGGCCCTGGAACAGGTTACCCAAGGAAGTGGTAAATGCCCCATCCCTGGCAGTGCTCAAGGCCAGGCTGGACAGAGCCTTGGGTGAGATGGTTTGGTGTGAGGTGTTCCTGCCTGTGGCAGGGGTTGGAAGTGGATGATCTTAAGGTCTTTTCCTGAAGGTTGGCTGTGCAAGGCCTACACTTTCTGAGCCACCAGAAAGAATAACTGGAAGTAGAATATTCATTTGCTACCCACGCGTTTCTCTTTTAGCAAGATAAAGGAGTAATATCCCAACAACAACAGAGGAAGTGCTGGGAAGGCACCTAACTAAAGCACTGCGTGGTAACAACTGCAAACTACAGCACCAGCTTTAGGATGCCAGGAAAAGGCCAGCTGTGTGAGACCGTGCTCCTCAGTGCTGAACCTTCCCTCAGAGCAGGGCAAGGACCCAGCGCTGCCCATGAATCCTGCTCGGCCTGGTCCAAGGAGATCATCCCACTCACGACTGGTTTCCTGTGCCCATCGCTTCTGCAGTGGAGCTTGGGAAGGAGGGAGGAAGGAAGGAAGGGCAACACTAGAGGTCACTCCCAGGAGTAAAAATCCCCAAAGATGGTTTTACCATTCCAGACGCTGCGTTTAAATAGCCCAGGGCAAGGAATGAGCTGCCCATCACCAGGGCTTTCCCAGCTTTACAGCCCAAGCAATTTGTCTGTGTTCCAGGTAGGACATCCAGGTGCCTCTTCAGCACCATCTCATTTAACTCCTCAGAATGACATCACCAGGAAGCAGCTCCTGCCCGGCCGTAAACCTCCAAGTGCTGACAGTAACCTCAGGCCACCAATATATGCTTGTGCAAACGCTGCTCCTCAGAGGCCACTTTCCGTTCTGTTTCATCCTTTCAGCTCCATCAACGGGCTCATTTTCTAGAGCAGTGGCCTCCCTTTGTACAGAAATAGCTCTCTCCTCCCCAGTTCCCCAGGAGATAACCAACTGCCTGCACGAGATGCTGCAGAACCAGGCATGGACCTTCCCCCCTCACTGCCTGTGGAGGCTGCGACACCGCTGGGAACCGGCTGCCTTGCTCGAGAGGGAAGGTTGGGATCCCAGCACCGCTGGGCTCAGCGCCTGCTGCCCACTCGCCTGCCCAAGGGGCACCAGGCCACGCTGCTGGCGCTTGAAGGAGCGCTTGCATTGTGGTGATGGGCTCAAAGCAGGGCTCTGCCCGGTCACCTGCAACCGGGATCTCCCCCTTACCCCCAGCGAGAGTGAGAACTGCTGTGTGTGGATTCCGAACGGTACCAGGGGCAAGAGAACAGGGTATGATGGAGCTTGAAGCTTCTTCCCTCCTCCTCCTCCTCCTCCTTAGCAATGGGACAAAGCCCTCTCCGGAGCGGCTCCGGACAGGAAGATGTCAGCTGCATTTCTAGGATCCCCGAGCTCCGGCTCCAGCCCAGAGACACGTCCTAACCCCGGCGCACACCGGCCCCAGGAGCTCGCAGAAGGGAGGCGCAGCCGAGCCCCCCAAAGCCAACCCTCGCCCTGCAGCGTGCGCCGGGGCCCAGCCCCGGGCTGGAGCGGCCATCGGCTCCCTGCGAGCCCCGGGGAGCGGCCTTTGCCCCGGGGTCCGCGGGGCAGGCACCGGCCGCATCCCCGAGCCCCGCTGCCACTGCCCCCTCCGTGGAGGAGGCCGCAGGGACCCGGTGCGCTCCCTGCCCCGTGCGGGAAGGGCTCCCCGCGCCCAGGCCCCGGGCCCCGCCGCCCCGGCCCTCACCCGCTCCCCGCAGCCCGGGGCCACCCCCGGCTCCCCTGAGCCGTGCCGGGAGCACGGACCCCGGGACCCCGGCGCCCCGCGGCCTCAGCTCTACCTGCGAGTCTCCTCCTCGCTCTCGGGCTCGCCGGGTCCCTCGGGCGCCGCCATGATCACATCGCACTCGGCCACCGCCGCCATCTTACCGCCGGGCCGGGCTGCGACTGGCGGCGGCGCGGGGGCGGCCGCTGCGCCGGAAGGGGCGGGGTTTGGGCGCAGAACGGCTGCGGCGCGGAGCGGGGCCGCGCGCCGGGCCCCCGCAGGTCCGCCCGCCCGCATGGGGGCGCTGTAGCCCTGCCCGGTCTCTCTGGGCCCCTTCCGCCGCCGCCTGACGGACGACTGCTCCGGCCGCGCCCGGCGGCCCCGTAGGCCCCGGCCCGGCCCAGGAGCGCCCGGCCCCACAGGCCGGCAGTGCCGGGGAGGCGGCATGGGGAAGAGCTGCAAGGTGGTTGTGTGCGGGCAGGCCTCGGTAGGGAAAACCTCCATCCTGGAGCAGCTCCTGTACGGGAACCATGTGGTTGGTGAGTCCGCGGGGAGCGGGCGCGATCGGGCGGGGCCCGGCCCCCGGCTTCGGCGGAGGGGGGCACCGGGAGGTGTCGGGGCTGCTCCCCATGGCCCCCGCCCGCTTCCCCGGCAGGCTCCGAGATGATCGAGACCCAGGAGGACATCTACGTGGGCTCCATTGAGACAGACCGCGGGGTGCGGGAGCAGGTCCGCTTCTATGACACGCGGGGCCTGCGGGACGGGCTGGAGCTGCCCAAGCACTGCTTCTCCTGCACGGACGGCTACGTGCTGGTGTACAGCACGGACAGCAAGGAGTCCTTCAAGCGAGTGGAGCTGCTCAAGAAGGAGATCGACAAGTGCAAAGACAAGAAGGAGGTGAGCGCCCCGCGGGCTGCGGGGTGGGATCCCCTGCCCGTGCTAACTGCCTCCCCCAGGGGCTTGACACGCGGATTGACTCCACAACTCGTTCGAGTTGTACAGTAGGGATGCTTTATCCAGCGCTGAGGCGCATGGGGGTTGCTCCTTCAAAAGCAATGCGCGCCCTTCCTTTGCCACTCGGTTCATTTATATTACATATAATGATTACCTAAACATGGTAGGCTTCACACCTAATACATATGCAAAACCTATTCCCGTCTAGGGTTAAAACTAGTTTTCTGGCATTCGTCCCATTGATGCACCTGTGCAGTGCCTCCTGGTGGTGGTAATTAGGGGGCCGTCAGGATGAAGGCCTGTAGCTCCTCTTCATCACCACGAGTAACCTCTTCCCTTCATGCAGACTCAATGGGGTTTCGGTTCCTACCCAAACCTCAGGTCTGGTACAAGCCAGTTTTATGTATCTTAAAGCAGAAACGTGTCAAGTTTGCAAATTTTGTTACTCTGGCTATCTTTTGTGCCTTTTCTTTCTAAACATACTATTTAAACAAGAATGTCTTAAGTATTAAGCTATGAATCTTATCTGCTACAATTCTGCCTAGCAGCTGTAACTCCTGCAATTCTGCTTCACCATTCTAGCAACTTTTGACTCCTATGGTTCTGCTTCACCAAGCACAGACAGTGCTTAAGCAAGCAGGCACAATGTTAACTCTTTATTTCCCGGTATCAGACTCTCCTTCTCTCCTGCTTGTCACAGGGACAGGGTCCCTGGGCTCAGGCTGCTGGCCTGGGATGCTTCTGAGGGTACCAGCGCTCAACAGGGCCTTCTGCTTTGGGCTGGTTTGAGACACAGAGCCCCCAACAGGAGGGGAAGCTGCCAGGTGGGAAATGTGGTTGAAAGGACCTTGGCATGGAGCAGGGATGAACTGCAGGGCCTGGCAGCGAGGGTCTCCAGGGCAGAGCCAGGCAGCACCATTCAGCTCTGCCTTTGGTGCCTGCAGGGATTGTTCTCACCCTTTTTGAACAGGTCACCATCGTGGTGCTGGGCAACAAGTGCGACCTGCAGGAGCAGCGCCGTGTGGACCATGACACAGCCCAGCACTGGGCCAAGGGCGAGAAGGTGAAGCTGTGGGAGGTGTCTGTGGCCGACCGGCGCACGCTGATCGAGCCCTTCATCTACCTGGCCAGTAAGATGACGCAGCCACAAAGCAAGTCTGCTTTTCCCCTGAGCCGCAAGAACAAGGGCAGTGGGTCCATGGATGGCTGAGCCTTGTTTTCCCTTCTCTTCCACTGCCACCTCCTCTCCTTCATCCCCTTCTTCCCTTGCACATACCTGCTGCTGAGCCTGCTTGGTGTCACAGAGCCTGCAGCAAGCACAGTGGCACAAGGAACATGCATCCCAGGGCTGGGGATGGCCTTCGAGGATGAGAGAGGAGCCATCTCCCTGCACTGGGACAGGGCCTGCTCTCTGCACATCCCTCCCGTGCAGGTGTTGGAGGCGGCACAGGAAAGCCAGGCTTCACGGAGGGATGCTCCATGGGTACCATAGGCTGCTGATGGAGCAGAGCACGGGCTGGCCGGCAGGTGGGGATCGCAGCCGGCCTGAGGACGCAATCCCCTCCCTTGAGAGGCTCTGGTTTGTTTTACTGATACCATGCGAGAAGAGCCCGTTTGCTGGCCCTGCCTCCGGCTCCACCCCAGCCAGCTCTGTGGTGTTCCCCGGCAGATCGCCACTTACCCGTCAGTGCCCACTGCTCCTCTACATGCAGGACTATTCAGGCATCCTGCCCAGTGGGTGCCCAGTGCAGGGCAAGATGCTGTTCCCGATGGCAGGGTGCTCACATCCACCACGCTGCATGCTGAGTGCAGGCTCAGTCATGACCTTGGCAAAGCTGGGACTGTGCTTTGCCTGCACACCTTGGTGCTTGGGGCTCTCACTGCCCATCCCTCACGGTGCTCACTCACCTCAGAACCACCACAAGACAAGGCAAAGGGGGCCTGGTCCTGCCCAGCAACACGTGTTCCCTTCAGCAAGCGTGGATGGAGGGAAACACCAGTGACAGGAGCATGCTGGCTTGTCTGTACTTGTTCCTTTTATTGACTGAGTAACACAATAAAGCCATGAGCTTCAGTTATCAAAATATTTTCCTTTTTTTCCCCAACAGTTATAGTACATCAAAAAAATATACAATGAACATTACAGGAGGGGTACTGGCCAAGTCCCTAGAGTCTGCTTATTCCATTTTGGGGAGGGGGGGGGCTTTGTTTGAATCAAAACTGTTCACATCACTCCAAGGTTATGTACAGAGGGGCACACGGTATCGAGCGCTATGGACTATGCCCTACAACCTAGTACAGCATATGCTAAGTCAAAGGCAGTAAATGCTTTGGATAGCACAGGAGCAGGGGGTTGGGGACACGGTAGAAGGGGGGGGTTCTCATTGCAGTATTATTGTTATTAGAAGGAATGGCTTTCAAGGGTTAAAGTGCCAAGTAGAGGAGTGTATCAGGACTCCACTGATGGGGGGTGACTGAGCAGCCGCTGCTGGCTCCAGCACAGGCCTCTTAGAGAACAAAACGGAGGGGAACGACCCCCCCCCCCCCAGTGTCCAATGGCTCCTGCAGGCTGGAGCGGGGCTGCTCCCAGCTCCTGAGGCTGGAGGGCACCGGTGGGGCCGCGCTGTCCCCCTGTGCTGCAGCCAGGGCTGATGGGGACCAGCCCGGGGCGGAGCACAGGGAGGTGAGCAGGGGAGGGCTGGAGCCACGGCCTGCTTGGCACTGCGATGTGGTGGGAGCCGTGTCCTCCCTCCTGTCCTGCGGGCTGCACGTGTCCCCTGGGCTGTGCGACCACCTCCTGTCCCTGCCAGGGCCTCTGCTGCTGGAGCCTTCCTCGAGCCACATCTCCCATCACCACTGAAGAGCTCGTGGTTGTCTCTACCCTCAGCCTCCCATTCAAGCTCGCTCTTCCCTGGTGCCCTCTCCGCTCTCCTCCTCCTCTGGCGTGGAGAGTTGTCCTGAGCAGATGAACCCATACCCAGGGGCTCCCTCGTGCTCCTGTCCTCCGTGGCAGGGTGCAGTGGCACCAGGGCTCAGTGCTGCCCATGGCAGATGCAGGTGCACAGCTCCGTGCTCCCTGTGCAGGTTTCCTGCCCTCGTGCGAAGCTCCAGCTCTGGGCAGCAGAAGCATTTCAGCCCCTTGAGTTCCCCGTTGGCTGGTTCCCATTGCCAGGACCCGTCCTGAGCATCAGTGGAGGAAAGATCCTGAAATCCACACATTGCTCCTGGCCAAGGCGTCGGATGTACTTCCCGTGCGTGTGGGTTCCCCGGTGCACAAACCCACCTGCCCCTTCCCATGGGGCCACAGCAGAGACCGGAGCCATCACCCTGGGCCAGGGCACGGAGAGGGAATCACCTGCACGGAGCTGCATCGCGGTGGCTCTGCTCTGGGTGCACAGTCAGCATCAGCACCAAGGTAAACGCAGAGCGAGGGCGAGCTGCTCCCCTGGATTGCATAGATCGGGTGGGCTTCACTCCAGCCTCGGGGCTGTTGGGGTTGCAACTTTCCTGCATATTTCCATTTGCAGCAGCGTGCTGGGAACCCGGAGCTGCGGGTCCAGCTCCAAACCACATCACTGCTGGCCTTTGTGAGCACAGTGAAAAGCAGAGCTACGGCTTCAGGGTCCCTCCAGAGCCCAGATTCCTGCAGGCTACGATGGGAGCATCACCGCTGCCGCCTGCTCCTTTGTACCTGATTGTCCGGGCTGCTGGGGACAGCTTGGGATTTGGGAATCATCCGCAACTCCCTGGAAGCTCCTAATGGGAACGGGGTTGGAAGGCAGCAGCGTTGCCTTTCACTGGAGAACCAAAAGTGCTTTAGGGACATTCACTCAGCCTCACAGCATCTCCCGGGAGGTAGGGGCAGGGCTGTCCCCCGCGGCTGGGACAGAGGCAAAGAGCTGGTGCTGAGCACAGGGACCCGCACACGCTCTGTGCTTCCCGGGGCCGGGCAATGTGCTTTCCAAGGGATGAGGTGCCGGCCCTGGGCATCAGCTATTGCTCTTGGAGTGAAGATAACGGGCGGTGGAGCCGGTGCCCGCCACAGCGATGGCTCTTTGGCTGGTGGGATGTGGACTTTGGGGTGTAGGAGGCTGGTGGGCATCACAGAGCCCCCCCAACCAGCACAGGCAAGTGGGGGCTGGTGAGGGCACAGCCAGCCCTGCCCGAGGGGGGAAACTGCCAACTTCCCACTTGCGCTGGGCTGTTTCATCCAGTAAGAGCTGGGCTGAGGCTCCCCTCGCAGCTCCCTTCCTGCCGGGCTGCCCAGAGGGATGCTCCTTGCCCCGGGGACCGTCCGGCTGCTCCTCTTCCAGCCTGGTAACTGGGAGGGGATGAACAAGAAGCCAGCGAACCCCTTGGCCACGCAATGGTCCCGGTGACCGGGGCACCCTCCTCTCCTGTGCTCAGCCTCGGGAGGGGCTCCTCTGTTGTGCGCCTGCACGGGCAGGGGAGCGGCGGGGACGCGCGGCGGGGCTGGCTGGGCTCTGCCGCTGGAAGCGAAGGAGAAGCCGGGGTTGGTGCCTACGACTACGTTTTCCCAGCAGCTGGAAGAGCCCCGGCCCCGCAGCGGCGGCTCTCAGTAGGGTGCGAAGACGATGGGGCCCGGCGTGGGGCGGACGGGGGCCGGCGGCGTGCGGAAAAGGGCTGGTCCGAGGAGCGGCGCCTGGAAGAGCGCGGTGGCAGCCGCCGGGCGCAGCGCCAGGGGCCCGGGCATGGCGCAGACGGCGGCCGCGGCCAGCGGGCTCGGCAGGAAGCGCGTTGCCAGCGTCTTGGTGAGGTGCTTCTGCAGCGCCAGCTTGGACTGCGGGCAGGGAGCGCACACCGTGAGCCCCCCCCCGCACCCTGCCCACCGCGGCTCGGTCTCTGCGCTGAACGCAGCCCCTGTCCCTGTCCCTGCTCCATCCCAAGGCTCCGGCCCTTTGGCTCGGCTGCTCCTGGGTCAGAGCACACGGGGATGCTCCAGTTGTGACCCAGGGCAGGTCCCCAGCCCCATCCACTGCAGCTTTCAGCTCGGTCTCTGCAGTGAACACAGCCCCTCTCCCTGCTCCATCCCACGGCTCCGGCCCTTTGGCTCTGCTGCTCCTGGGTCCGAGCACAGAGGGATGCTCCAGTTGTGACCCAGGAGAGGTTCCTAGCCCCATCCACTGCAGCGAACACAGCCCCTGTCCCTGCTCCATCCCACGGCTCCGGCCGCTCCTGGGTCAGAGCACACGGGGATGCTCCAGTTGTGACGCTGGGAAAGCCCCCAACCCCATCCCGCTGGCTCAGAGACCTGCCCTGGCCTTTGCCCATTCTGGGCTCTTCCCTGCATCAGTGCCCTGACTTCTGCTAAGCTCTGGATCCGCACAAGCAAACACTTGGGCTTGCTTTAACTAAGCTGTGCCAGTGCCCAGCCAGGATCCATGAAACAGGGGGAAAAACACAAGTGCTGCTGCCAGAGGGCTCCCAAGCTATTCCCGAGCTTTCCTTTTCCTGAAGACCTTTCCCACCACTAGAGCCCGCCCTCCCCAGGGGAGCAGCTTAGATGCGCTCATGGGAACTTGAGGCTTCAGGAAAAGCAGCCCCTGTGTCCCTTATTGCAAGCGATGGCAACCGATGGTTCGGAGAGCAAACCAAGCAGGTCACTGCAGGGAGACAGGTACCTTGAGAATACTCACTGCGAGGGCAGCGTTCTTCTGCAGCTTGTTATAGGGGCTGTACTTGGGCTTGGGCGGCTTCCCCGCCAGTCTGTCTTTGTGCCTCCGGCTGCTCATGTGCTGGGAAAGGGAAACAACCGGATCACCCAGAGCCAGGATGAGGGCGGGCCCATGGCACTGCATGGGACCCATGGGGGATGCCCATCACCTTGCAGGCAACAGTGAGGAACCCACCCCTGAGCCCTGCGGTCTGCACCCTGCACCCGGTGTCCCCGCATTCCCATGGGAAAGGCTCACCCAGGCCTGGCATCCTCACCTGTTTGAGCTGTGTCTCCGAGTTGACGTAGATCTCGCACACTTGGCACTGGAACGCCTTGTTCTGGATGTTGATGCTGCCCTTGTTCCCGATCCGCTTGGACTTGTGCGCTGCCCGGGAGAGGAGCTTGCCTCGGCCTCGCCGCATCTGCGCGCCGTGACCCTCCAGCATGGACTTGTGCTTGGCACCTGGGCGGCAGAGGGGACACTGGGCAAACCAACCCTGCCCTGGCAAACCAACCCGAGTGCCCCATGGGTGCCCCCCACCCAACCCACCCACCCCACAGCGCTGCGCCCTCCGGAGGGACCCCAGTCCTGCCCCCCCCAACCTATCCCCAGCAGCACCTGCAGGCAGAGGGCCTGGACTCGTGCTGGGGATGCAGCCGCCCATTCCTGGATCCACATCCAGCTGCGCTCCGCAGGCAGCCCAGAGCTGCTCCGCTTCCCAGAGACCCCCCTCCAATGCAGCCCTTTGGAGAAGCTGCTCTGTGAGCGTGTGCTGGAGCCTGGCGCCCGGCCCCGGGCGTTAGCACAGGCTGGAGCTGTCACCCCCTGCGCTGCAGCATCTGAGCTGTGCCCAAGGTCACAGCGGATCCGGCTGCAGAGCCAGGAATAGCTCAGCGGGGTGATGGGAAGTGGGGAAGGAGGGACCTGAGCTCCCCACACGCCATGGACAGGGTGCCCTGTCCTGGGAATGGCAGCAAAGGGATGTGTAATTCAAGCCTCTGCTAATTCATTCCATTTCTCAAGGCGTTAAGCAAGGAGCCGGGTGCATGGGATGGGCGCGGAGCGGCTCAGCCCTGAAAACTGCTTCTTTGCTTGTTCTTTCCCCAAATCAGCTCCCGAATTCGTAACTGGAGCTGACAGAAGCAAAAGGGCACGGCTGCAGCTCAGCCGCGGCGTGTCCTGAGCTGACCCCAGTGCTCGGCGCCGCTGCCGTGCACAGGGAGGCCATGGGAACTGGTCCCCACTTTGTGTGATCTGGGGACAGGAGGCTCTTCCCTTTACAGCTGTGGTGCCCCCCCCACCTTGGGTAGCATCCTCCGGGGAAAGGGGGGAGCTGGGAGCTGGCACCAGAGACCCCATTGGGGTTACTGCCTCCCATCACTGCCCCAGGGCGGGCCTGGGCATCC